TGCTGACCTTCACCTCAAAACACTGCTGTTTACTTGCATCTAAAGCAAGGATAATAACAGGCATTTTGGATGTTCTGTGCCATTCTCAGAATTTTGAATATCAAAGCCTTCATTAATACTTATTAAAGATTTACATGTACAAAGAGTTTATTAACTTTAATATTAAAATACTTTGTTCCTGAAAACGCCCTGGTGTTATGTAATATAGTTACTAAAAATGTATATCACATTGTCCTATTTCTGTCCTTTATTAGCGTGGAATTTACAGCTTCAGAATGAGGTCTCTAAAAGTTGTTTCTTCCAAAAACATATGCTGTTTATTTTGCTTTAAAGTTTATAGGCCCATTCTCAGCTGATATCAGCACAGCAATGTCCTATTGCATGCCAGCATAAAATCAAAGAAGTGATCTTTTTCCCTTTGCTACAGGAAATGTTGGAAGGGATTGGTATGAATATTCTCATTATAGTTGAAACGCATAGAAAGGAGAAGCTTCCCCTTTCAAAGCAATTTCAGGGGAAAAAAAAAAAACTGCTCAATGAAGTGACCCCAGCTGCGGGGCGATGTGCAGGGTGAGGCTGGGCTGCCAAAAATGAGATAATTTGTACTTTCTGCACCTTCTTTAGCGTTATTGCTTCATAGAACAAGCAAACTCAGGGTGACAATATCGGAGCTTAATTGCTCTCTATCTTTCTGAGATCAAAGAGCCCTGGAGGGTGTAGCCTGTGTGTCACAGTGCTGCAGCAACAGTCGGAAACCCGGGGGAAAACCGCTGCCTGGGCAAAAGGAGTCACGAGAACAGCCAGCTGCCTCTGCTGCCTGGGGCAGAGCCATGGCATGCTATAAAAGCACGGGCTGCTGAGAATCATGTATTTGCTTCTCCTGCCTTGTTGTCCTTGTTGAAGTGGGTAAGTTTGAACACCTTTTGAAAGAAATCTAGTGAATAATGGAGAAATTATTTGATGCTATATTTTTTTCACTTCCTTTTCACACCCTGGTGGTGGTGGGGGGGGCTAAGTTGCAGGTGCTGCAGATCAATGTATTGCAATTTGATGAAGGTTGTTTATACCTGACATTAATGAAAATACAGGGAGGAAAGAATATATTTGAATGTCTGAAACTGTGTTAATTACACATCAATCCCTCTTTTTTTCCTAAATTTTTAGGAAAAATTTTGCTCTACAGAAATTCCCCATTAATTTCTTAGTGGGGAATTAAGAAATTAAGGGCCCCTGAGGGCCCTGGTACAGGTGGCACCATTTGGTGTCTGATTGCCAGTCATGATCCTTAGGTGCAGTTGGGGGACAGGCAGGAAAGTTCAAAAAGGCTGGTCAGGAAGGAGGGTTGGGGGAAGGCCTGGCATTAAAAGTCAGGATATGCAAGCAGGCATGCGTGGAGGGTTTTGGTCAGCATGCCTGTCTTTGCTCACTGTCTCTTCCTTGCTCTCAGGATTCATTTGAGTTTTGCTTGCTGTTGACACCGTTGCCTTATGAGCTTCTTTCCTACTGCTGTGTTTCAGGCTCGCGCCCTCCACCGCACCAAGATGACCTACTACTACCAGAACCAGTGCGACGACGTGTGCTACTCGCCCTGCAACTACGGGACGGCGTACACCTACCGCAGGAGCTACGGCTGCGGGGGCCCCTTCCGGCCCCCGGGGGCGGGGGGGGGGGGACTGCTACGGCTCTGGCTCCCGCTACTGCTACCCCTACTCTTCTTGCTACACCCCCAGATACAGCTTTGGTGGCTGCTACCCCTGCTAAACCCAGAGAGTTTTAATGGGAAATGAGGTTTGAGAATTAATTACTAGCTTCAAGGATGCTGTTACAGGGATGGTTTGCAGAAGCTCTGAGTCCAGAGCCACAGCTGAGAGCTGCAGCGTTTTGGGGAACTTGGTGTTTCTGTGAAACTTCTTGCTCAGTGTACTTCCAAAATCTTGTTTTGTCTTGTTTTTTCCATAGTGGCGGCTTTGCTCTATGCAGCTCTGACAGTATACTGGAAGCAGGGCTTAACATGAGTATGAACAGCTTGTAAACTCATTTATAGCTCTTTCACGTTTAATGCTAATGACATCTAGTCTGCGTATGTGCGATCATTTCTGTAGGACTGACTGTGTTTCTGACTTTACTGCTGTTGAAGATAGGCAAAAGAAAAATGAATTGCCTACTCTGTTCTGTTTTGTTGGGTTCAAAGCAAATGGGAAAAGTTTGAAAATGGAAATAGATAGTCAAGTGCTACTGCTGTAGCAGCAAAAATGGCTTCATCCAAAACAAAGTGAATTTTCTGCTGATCTAAAATTAAATTGCTGTATGTATTCTTTCTGCTTCTGCTTTCTGTATCATTTTGGATTGTGAGCTTCATTATCTTCATTATTATTAAAAATGTTACAGCATCACCATGTCTCTGATTTTTCTTTCACTGTTCAGTGTTTCATTTTTCTTAATGCTTTGATTTATTGAGTCAAAAGTGGCCTCTGGCTTGAATGTACTTGGATTTTTCTTTTGTTTTTGGGTCCCCTGAAAACAGGCCTTTAACTCTGTCTTTGAATTGCAGTGTGTACGTGGACATTGGATGTAACAGCTACTACCACCACATCTCAGTGGTTATAAATACACAGGTTGTCCATAGACAAACCCAGTTTACCCAGAGGATAAGCCAAGAAATCTGGAGGAAACCCCTTCTTCTCAAATGCTCTTTGTGCTGAGAGTATCTGAGATGTTCTCTTGGTTTAGAGACTGGATCTGTTACAAAACAGAAAATTGCACATATTCTGCTCACTTTATTAAGTGTTTGCAGTGATCGCTGCAAGGCACCTTTTGAATGACAATAAAATGGCATGGAATTTTCTGGTGCACAACATGTAGTTGTTATTCAGATGAGATCCTTTGATGCAAGTCCTAAGTGATCCTATTATTCATGACTGCTGTCAGTTAGGTGCTTCAGTAGTAAACTCTTAATAGTATGATACTGTAATGCAATCCAGATGTAAAATGGCTTGTGGAGTGCTTTGAAATCCGTGTTAAACCTTAGAAGCTTCATTATGGCTGTAATTGCTGTCCTTTGAACGCGCACAAACAGAGATGCTTTGAGGGTAGCCTCACAAAAGGAACTAACAAGAGGGGCTGAACCCAACTGTGCTATGCTACCCCTGCAAGGCTGGTGCACACTGGAAAAGCTGTGGATTTACCCTTCCCTGCAAATTTCAGAATTGAGCTTTTTTGCTGGGAAGGTACTCACTGATTTCAGTGCCTGATGCACTGCCTGCAGGAGTGCAATGTGGGTTGCTCCTGACCTCGTATTTTGACTTTAAAGGTTACAACTTTAGCTGGAACTGGTCATAATTTCAGAAGCTATTTTCATCCAGAATGGTGATCTAGTTCTCTTGCAGGTACAGAATTTTAAGATACTGAAATTTACTTATTTGTAGATAATAAGTAGATGCTTTGGCATAAGATACAGAATGAGGCAGTTTTATTCTACATCAAACTAGAGAAGAAAATAGCAGGTATTTCTGAAGACTGAGGTCAGATGCTGTATCCTATAGCTATCTGGGATCTTAATAAGGTCCACAGTTCCAATTCACAGCCCTGTGCCTCAGCCCTATTCCTCTAGCCCTCATCACTGCCTAATTGTGCTTTTTCAGTTTCCCCTTGAAACTAGCAAAGTGATTTCAAGGCACATGAGTTAAAGATTAAAAAAAAAAGTTTTGTGTAACTATGTACTCCTATTAAGTTTAACTCATAAATTCACTAATACTTGCATTTCAATATCCATAATAAAAATGTGTTTGCAGAAACCATTAAATTTGTAATATTCCTAAATATCACAGATCGCCTGTATAAGAATCAGTATTAGCTTAAATTAAACAGGAAGTCAGAATAATATAGATTTAAAAAAATTAGTATTCATCCTCATAACAGTGGTAATGGGCTCTTGATACCATAATGTTATGCAAATATAAAATATTAACAGATATCTGCAAATAGTATTGAAATCTTTAATTCTGAAGAATCTTCAGTAAACTCACCTCTGCTTTCCTTCAAATACTGATTAACAGAGGCAGCCTGAGATTAGGGTCACAGCACAGACTAGTAGAATGAAATCCAGCTGTCTAACATGAGAAGACAGTCACTAATTGTAGGCTCTCTTGTGGTTGTTTGTGCGGACCCACACTTCAATGAAAAATTTGAAGGCTATAAAATCATATTCTAACTAAAGCATATATGAAAATAGCTTAGCATGCACTTCTTAAGTGACTATTATTTAATAATGAAGCACTTAAGAGTAGTAAACATTTAATACAGTAATGATACACAACGAACATATAAAATAGTTATGAGCGTCTGTGAAGTACTTTGAACTTCTCAGACTATCTAGCATGGGGAAATTTGGAAGCATTCTTTACTTCTGCTTGAAAAAAGGAACACTGCACATCAAATACATTTATTGATTATCTACTGTCCAAAGCTGCCTCTAACAATGAGATTAATAGCTTGTTTGTATTTCTTTCTCTGCTGCATTTTGAGAGCGTTCTTCTGAGCTCCTGAGGATTCCACCTACCCATGTTAGCAAATGCACTTCGCAACTGATGATTAACCCAGTGGCCAGAGCTCTGGTATTGCAACATCACTTAGAATCAGGGAAAATGAGAGCAAACAGAAAAAACTACCAAAAGGCAGGCGAGACTTGGAAACACGGTGGGGTTGAGTGCTGC